GGGCCAGGGGTGCCGAACCCCGTCCCCCGGGACCCCCGCCGGGGCCTCGCGGCCAGGGCTCGACAACCCTGCCCTCCTCTCCTGATTTGTCTCATCCTCGTATCCCTCGCTTCCCACCCCCTACCCCAACCACTGCTTCCCGCCTGACGCCTACTCGTCCAGCTACTGACGAGCCCTCTATTGACTATTCTCCTACCATCGACGAGGGCGGCAGTGTCGAATCTTGCTAAGGTGATTGTCTGATAGCCTTCTACTCCCGTCAGCTCCTGCTCGCCGAGATAAACTACACCACAGATAAACGTGAGGTTCTCGCAGTAGTTTAGGGCACTCAGCACTGACGTCACTACCTGCACGGGGCACCATTCACGGTGCACACGGACAACTCCGTTGTCCAGGCTTTTCTGACAAAACTGAAGCTCACTCCTCGACAAGCTCGCTGGTGGCGTGACCTATCCGAGTTTAGTTTCACCACTGAGCACATCAAGGTGAGACTAATCGGGTCTCAGATGCCTTATCCCCACCCTTGACCACGATCAGGAGCAAATCCAACTCGCTTCCATCTCGGTCACCACCATCCACCACTCGGTGATCGACGAGTTTCGCACTCAGTACCGCCACTGCCGCGACTATCGCGACATCCATGCGACCCTTCAGAGTGGCAAGACCGTCCCGAACTACTCCCTCGGGGACAACGGTTTTGTGTACTGGCACGGTTCACAGGGCACCAGAGAGCCCCGTATTTGCGTTCCCTCTACTAGACAGCTACGTGTCCGGGCAGTAGAAGAGTTCCATGACCATGCAGTCGCCGGTCATATGGGCTTCCACAAGACGTTGGCTCGTGTAAGCCGCTAGTACGTCTGGCCGAAGCGCAATGACTTTGTGAAGGACTACGTCGCAGAGTGTCCCACTTGTCAGGAGATAAGCAGTGCGAACCACCTGCTTTATGGTTTGCTCCAACCTCTTCTTATCCCTAAGGGTCGTTGGCAGTCCATCTCGATGGACTTTATTGGTCCTCTTCGTCCTCCGACCCCCCGCGGTCATGATGCTATCCTGGTCGTCGTCGATCGCTTCACGAAACGTGCATGCTTTGTTCCGTGCCGCTATGCCATCTGTGCACATGAGGTCGCCGACATCGTGTTTGACCGAGTCGTGCGCGACCACGGCTTACCTCTGAGCATCATATCTGACCGTGACCCGCGCTTTACCAGCCGATTCTGGCGACGGCTCCACGAGGTTTACGACACCCAGCTCCGCTTCTCCTCATCTTACCATCCTCAGACTGATGGTCAGACCGAGGTCACGAACAAGACTCTCAGAGTTCTTCTCCGAAAGATCCTTCGTGATGACCAGCAGTGGGATCTCCACCTTGCCCACGCGGAGATAGCCTACAACCACGCTGTCTTGCCAGCCACGGGGATGTCCCCTTACTATTGCGACCTCGGTTATCACCCTCGCGTTCCCGCGGACTTCCTTCGACCGTCACAAATGCACCCCGACACAAGTTGTCCCGCGCTGGATGATTGGGTTGCACACATGACGTCGATTATGAAGACCGCACATGAGCACATAGACGCTTCCCAGACTTGCATGGCAACACGTGCGAACCGATCGAGGATGGATCATCCATTCAAAGTCAGTGATGATGTGCTTATCGACGCCCGCCACTTACAGTTCGAAGCGGACACGCTTCGCAAGTTTCGACGTCGTTTCTTTGGCCCATGCCGCATTCTCGAGGCCGTCAGTTCTGATACGGCTTCTAGCCCGGTCAGCTTCCGTATGAAATTGCGAGACTACCTACGCCAGACCCGTGTGCACGATGTCTACCATGTCTCGTTACTGCGTCCCTACTGCACACCGTCTGAGCGTTTCGCCGGACGACCATACGAGCGCCCTCCACCCATCATGGTGGACGACCACGAGGAGTTCCTCATTTCAGACATCATTGGTCACCAGGTCACCGACGACGACCCTCCTCACGTAGAGTATCTCGTACGTTGGAAGGGTACCCTGATGAGGAGGCTACTTGGGAGCCCCTCGAGCACTTACAGCATGCTCGCATGTTGGTGCGTGCCTATGATCATGCTCGTCGTGTTGGGTTGACTGCTCCTCCTCAGCCCACCGACCCCCCTCCTTCTCCCTCGGCTGAGGAGACCGCTGAAGTCGAGCCTGCTCCATCTGAGGCAGACCTTCAGCAGCAGCCGGATGCTTCTGAGCGTCCACATCGCACTCATCGTCGTCCTTCTCGAAGCGACGATTGACTCTGACTTATCTTCCCACGTCTTTGACTTCTCAGTACTCCATCCACTCCAGTTTTGCCACTTCAGCTCATCGACGTTGCGGCTCTTCCTCGACGACATTCCAAACTTCTCATCATGGACATCATCGGCAACTTTATGGACTTCATCACGATCAGCAATGCCTACTTCAGACGTCGTCACTCTCCTACCGCCTTACCCTGTACAGTACCGTGGTTGTGTCGCATGATGGTCTCCCTTCGCCAGGTTCCTCTGAGTTGGACTCTCCCTTGGTATACGCATAGGCATCGGGACCGTAGCGTTGCCCTGGCTTCCCTGCTTACGGATCTAGCTCCGACTTCCCTCACTTTAGGAGTCATTTGCATGATTCTCTTACCCATCACCTTTCTACCCTCTGCCAGCCCTCACGCCCTAGTTAGGCAGCCTCACATGCTTCATCTAGGTGCGCCCAGTATACCAGGCTCCCTTGTTCCCTTGCATGGTCGACCCTCTATAGCGGTCACCCCTTTAGTCGAGCATTACCCACCCTGATGGTCTATCTGTTAGGGTCATTGGTTCTGTTCGCTCCCAGTTCCCTACCTTTATTGAGCGTGATGACATGTGTCTCCCTGTCATTTTGTGTGGATGCCCTTAGGAGTTATCGTCCCCTAGGCTGCATTCGTCGCCGTCAGAGACCATCCACCCCTTTGGTTTGCGACACACTTCTCGTGTGACATATGGTTGCCTTGTTGTTGCTTTGTTGCTCTCAGACTGAGGCTACTGCCCTTGACATTTCTAGGATTTAGTTGTTCTGCTTTTGCTGTTCTTAGGACTTATAAACTAGTTAGCTGTTTCCAGACTGAGGCTACTGCCTCCAACATTCTAGGATTTAGTTGTCATTACTTCCTGCTTTCCTAGGATATGTATACTAGTTAGTTACTTATGCTTTTACTTAGGCTGTTAGCTGTGACATTGTTGTTTTTGTGATATTTTCTATCCTAGGTTGCATCGCATGGACTCATCATGGAGCTTGCTCCGCATCCTAGATACTCAGGCTTTCTTTTTCTTTGGTAGAGTTCCGCTTCTTGGCGGAAGCGTGCTTGTATCTAGGCGATCCATCACAGGCCGAGGATCGTGTAGCGGACCTCTGGTTGGCCTGTGAGACCAGCCCCTTGGCCTGTTCTCACAGGCCTGTGTTGTATTCGGGGTAGTCCAGTCCAGGCCGGTACCTCTGTCGGTACCAGCCAGTCCTGTCCAGTCCCGTCAGTCCGATGGCGTATATCCCAGTTGTTGTCTGTTTTCCGAGGCATTCTATATTCGCACACTTTGGAGTACGTGCGTTGGAGTCTGGCATGGGAGCTGCGTTGTGCCATCCCACTCCGCCTTCTTCCTCCATCTCCATCTCTGTCCCAGGCGGAGCGCCACACCTGGTGGGTCCGCCACACATACACACATGATGATGATCATCATATGTCTTTAGTCATTATCCTTTTATTTTCTCTTTCTAGCTATGAGCCGCTGCCCACACCCACATGCTTTAGCCTCCCCCTAATCAGCCTTTGTGAAGGCCTCCGTTTGGTCTTGAAAGCGTCGTTGTACGTCCCATTGAAATGCCTGTGAATGGGGCATCCAACGTTCAGCGTACACATAATTTATGATGCATGGATGGAGAGCAATATTTGCCACTACCCGTCAGTATGCTTCTTCTTTGGGCAAATTGCAGACAGACCGGTTGGCGAAATATGACAAAGTTTTTCAAAATGGTATTTTTGCACCTTTCAAGTATACTTGCCACAATACATGGGTGAACCCTTATATTTGCTACCATACTTCTCCAAACAGGTATGTCTGCAATTATGCAATTTCCTCTTCTTCTTTTTCTCGCTTTTAGCTTCTGCCCGTTCCTTCATTTTATTTGTACTTTTGTGAATTTTCGTACTGCACTGTTTCAGACTTTAAAATTAGGAGTACTAGTAGGTTGTTAGAGGCTTTTTCGAATTTCTCAGTGTATTTCGGACTTAAAATCGGGACTATTAGCAGTATGTAGCGTATTTTAAATTTTGTCTGCTGGTCACATGGGCTAGGTCTGAGCCCTACTGTATTTTCAGATTTAGTAGTACCAATGCAGGACGAAAATCAATAGCCTAGGATTAATACGATTGATATTTAAAGGCTATTGAGCCCTACTATATGTTGAGCTCAAAATTTCATGAGAAGCGGGTGTGCATGGTAGTCCCCATTGTTTCCTTTTCCGTGGAAATCCTGGCTATCTACTAACTCGGTAGTACCCGCGCTACTGTGAAAAGTAAGTGGCGCGCTGTTGGAATTTTCAAATATTACTCCAAACACTCCAAAGCGCCAAAGGGTCCTAACACCCTCAAAGTCCTCAGACACTGTTTTATTCCCTACCAAACTCTACCAAGCCTCTCACCCCCGCTATAGGTTACAAGGCAAAGCAACTCACCCCGACTCCGGCCAGCATCGTCTTCGAAAGGAACCCTTGATTGTCCCATGAAATGCCCCCCCTAGGCATTCCCAGATCTCTCTACCAGGCCTCGACCTCCTGCTGTCAACAAGTTACAGGGTCAACACCGAGCACCGACCAGCGTCGTTCTGGCATCGAACAACCGCAGGTCCATGAATAAAACAACGTCAAAAATCGCCTCAAGGAAATTGCAAGGAGTCCTAAGAGCCTAAAAGCGTTCTACCACAACCACCGAGAACAATCACAACCTCTAGAGGATAGCCATATCCGAACACATCGCCCGTTTTTTTTTTTTTTTTTGACGAAATAGGACATGAGTAACACACAACAAAATTGAAAGCAAAAAATCCAAACCGAAACCACCGACTAACAAACTTCCCACGCAACAATTGGAAAAAACAAAGTCCCCATGATCAGTCCTCGAACCTAAACAACGCTGGTCTCATAACCCCCTATGCTAGAGTTACAGGGCACCACCATGCCCTGGTACCGACCAGCCTGGTATAGACGGCAAGGAGTGCCTTCCTCCCTCGACAACTCCCATTAGCCGCACGCCCCTAGGTGACAGGGATAAAACCCCAGCAACGGGTGCGTCGGACGTGGTGGTTCTGCCTTCCTCCCTCGACAGAGCTCCCCAGGCCCCACGCTCCCCCAGGTTACAGAGCAACGCTTTAGCACCGGCCTGCGTCGTCCCAGCCACGTCCTTCTGACCTATTGACGAAGACAAAGGCCCTTCCCTTGTTACACCCCCCTACAAACTTCCCACCCGTCCGTGCGAATAATCTACTTCCCTTAATCGTATGTTTTTTGGCTACCTGCTAAAGTTTTTTAAGATATGAAACCTAGTTGACAATTTGCAGAGCAGTCAAGGGGACTATAACAACCCTACTCCGGCTCACCAACGCAATCATACTCTCAGCCTAAGTCTGCCCAGCCTCACACCCCCACCGCTAGGTTACGGGGCAACACAACTCACCCCAGCTCCGACCGACATCCTCCAAGCAGCAACCCTTGATTATTCCGTGAGATGCCCGCCCGTAAGCATCCCCAGATCTCTCTACCAGGCCTCATGCTCCTGCTTCGCAGGTCACAGGGCAACACCCCAGCACCGACCAGCGTCGTTCTGGCATCGAAAAACCGCAGATCTGCAATTATGACAGCAACAGACACATCTAAGAAGATGTGCTAACAGTCTCCAATGAGAGAACTTCAAGCGAAATCATCAAAGTATCCAAGGTCATTAGATTAGGCAGAATTCATCACGAATCATGACAAATTAGAAAATCGAATCATGACAGATTAGAAAATAGATCTACAGCGAAATTGAGAAAATCTATATGAAATATTATTAGCATTTACGAATAGGATGTCCGAATAGGACTTTCGATCTGTTTTGTGAAGATCAACATCAGACTATGCTTATGAATTTCCCACCAGCAAGTACGGAAATTTTATGAATTAGAATACCCGACTAGAATTGTTCTTTGGGGATTTGAGACAGAAAGTAGCTCAGAAAATTAAGCAGATGTTGTAATCTGAAGACTAATTTAGATGGTTGTATGAGTACAGAACAAAATAGTCAATTGTAAACTTCTACGAATTTTGAATTCGAATTTCACGGGCCATACCGCCGATAAGTAACTGACTGATGCACTACTCGAAGACAAGCGTGTGTGACTAGGCGGGTAGATAGAGGAACAGTATATCTATTATCTAGAGGGCAAGGCAGTCGGCCCTCTATTCTCAGACTGGTTGGAATGTTGGGTGGTGCCCTAGGGCGGATCTGGGGAGAAGCCCCCTGAGGAGTGCCAGGAGTGCAGCCTGGCCGAAAGGGGTTGGGGAATTTGCGCTTTTTCAACTGAGAACTGTACATGCCGAGAACTATTGAAATATATTGTCCATCCGTGTGCGAAAAGCAGTCTATGGCCACTGTTTTCACTATGTCACTATTCCTTTACACGCAGTTGCGGATCTGTTTGTCTATGGTGCCATGGCCCATGGGGGTGTGGAGAAAAAGCATTTGCGGACCTTTACCTCTATGATTGAGGGCTCGAACTGAAAGTCCGATATGTGCTCTCGTTAACATCGGGGTCGAACTTCTGGCAAGATGAACAGACTCGATCTCTTAATTAGAATAATTAAACCACCAGTTCACGCCGCCACACTGTCCCTGCTACTGCAGTAAACTGCACCCTGACCTGGGCCGTTCGGCAGAGGGCCGGTACAGCTTTGGGGCAAAGGACTGGTGGGCCTCGAAAATCTGACCTGCCAGCCCACCAGGTGCAATGGAAGGGCGGGCGTGAGATGTGAAAACGGCACCTGTTTCCAGACGGCCTTGCA